AAGATGAATTGTTCGAAATCATGAAGCAAGTGTTTTGAATATGGAAGAAAAGTTCACATGTATTTTCTACTAAGTAGTGAGAAGAACAGTCATGTTTCTAGCCCTGACATAATTTATCTTCATGTGGTAGAGATCAAGAGAATTCTAATCATTATAACCCTCGTGCCATTTTTATAAAGCTTGTGAAAAAGTCAAAGTACTTCTCTCTGCTAAATATTGTTAGATTAAGCCAGGACGTAAAAGAAATGGAAGGGTTTATACAAACTTTCTATTTTCTTCTTCATATCACTTTTTGTCATTGTAAATTTAAAGATTTATCATTAAAAGTTTAAACACTGACGTTTGAGACTAAAGCAAAATTCCCTTTGAAAGTACGGATTATAACAGTGACCTAAAAATGGATCGCAAAACAGCTACGTATTTGACAAAATCAAAATTAGCTACGATATTTATAAGAAAAATACTTGAAAATTTTTAGATATTGTCTTCAAATGTTTTCTTTTTCGGCTTTCATGCTATTTTGATATACTACTCGAAAACAACACATGTTTTGTAGTTTTCAATCAATTCAACAGCAGCTAAATTCTAAAATATGCTTACATTATGGCTTTTTTATGTTAACCTTATTTGAAGCAGTCGAATTATAAATTCTTCACTTTTTATATATTGTGACTTAATTCAAAGCAATCAAGATATGCATTCCTGTATGACAGTTATATGATTAGCTGTCAAGAATCTCGAAAAAGTAAATGAGTTTTATTCAAATGACAACTTATACCAATTAAAAATCCAAAATCCTCCAAACTTTCCAAATTGTAAGGTATTTTGATTATATGTAAGACGATTTTGTCTTTCAAGGTTTTCAAAACAGTTTATAAACATGGAAAAACCTGCTAAACATTTGCGTTGGTGTCTCACCTGGCATATACTTACCCTTCCCTGGGTGTCTCGCCTGGCGTATACTCACCCTCCCTGGGTTTCTCTCCTAGCATATATTTACCCTTCCCTGGGTGTCTTGCCTTGCATATACTTACCCCCCCTGGGTGTCTCACCTGGCATATACTTACCCTTCCCTGGGTGTCTCGCCTGGCGTATACTTACCCCCCCTGGGTGTCTCACCTGGCATATATTTGCTATCCCTGGGTGTCACACATGGTATATACTTACCCTCCCTGGGTATCTCACCTGGCATATATTTACCATCCCTGGTTGTCTTACCTGGCATATACTTACCCTCCTTGAGGTATCTCAAGGAGGCATATATTCACCCTTCTCTGGGTGTCTTGCCTTGCATATATTTACCATTCCCTGGATGTCTCACCTAGCATCAGTTTTGGAATAGATTTTTTGTGATTTGTGAATGGCTATAGGGTTGTTATGAAATTTCCACAAACTGCGGTACCGTTATTGTGCTGTTGTTTTGTAGTAATGTATTGAAAATCTTAATGAGCAAAGGAATAACAGTTGATATAAACTACCATAACTGCCTTTCTGTCACTGTCTGATTCATATCTAGAGATAACAGTTGTGGATATTTTCCTTCTCTTATTTATGACAAATTCAATAAGAAAAAGCTAATTTCGAGTATAATTTGTACAATTGGCTAAAGAACATAGTTTTTAATTGGTTTCATTCCTCCCTCTCAAAACAATTATTTTACAACTGAGTAAGCAATTCATTAAGGCTCCTTAGAAATTGTAGAGAGGAAAAGAAACATCCGATTTTGTATACAACTATGAAGGTCTGTTCGCGTGACATCAATCAAAGCGAATTCAATAAATATCATTGAAAAAGACGATGAGTGATGACCTCGTAGTGCTACTAGTCCCGCAGCAGCTCCACCATAGGGACAAGTTCAACTGAGCTGAAGAGCTCGGCAAATAGTCGCACATTTTCGTAAGAGAAAGTTATACCTTGCGCATGCTTGGAAATGCTTTCAATTTCTCTTGCGATTAAAGCAGATCATGTAGAGACCTGCCTTTAAGTAAATTAAATTAATACTTTGCAGTTTGATTGATATTTCTAATTTGTTACAATGTTTGATTTTCGGGAACACATCCACAAAACAGAAAAGGTTCAGAGCATAAAAAAGACATTCTATGAAAACGAAAGTGATTTATAAAAATTGTCTTAAGCAATACTTATGAAAATTACTGTTTACCGGTCTGTCATAAAGTGCTCGATCCCGTATAGGCTGAGCTGTATACGCTTTTTGGTGTATAGAACAGGACGGTTCTAAGTTACTACTCCGAGTTTCACGCTTAATGCGACCAACAGGCAACTGTTCTGTACACCAAGTAATGTTAAGCAATATATGCATTTTTGGCTAGCCTTTTCACGTTGGAAAGTCTCTTATTTATTGGATTTAAATTGCAATCTAAATTTAACAATTCAATTTGTTTTACGCGAAGGAATTTAAACTAAGTTCCTCTATAAGGTTCCTCTATTATCTATCACTGGACTAGCTTACAGCATACAGTCTATCAACAAAATTGATGATGAGTATCTTTTTACTTTTCTGTTGTAAAATTGACCAGAGAAAGATAAAAGAGCGCTTTACATGTTCATTCTAAAAAGATTCATGTGTTTATCTTTTGCAAATGTGCAGTGTCTACATTATACCATTATCAAGAAATCATTTGTTTCATTTTTATAAAAATTCCATATAATTGTAACGTAGCAAGCAGCTAGTAATAGATTTTCAAAATAATTTCAAAACAGGGACATTGATGGGGCCATTTCTTCTCTTCTTGAATAACTCCATAGGCAATTTGTTATTAGGGCTTTAGAACTAGAATAAAACTTTATTCTGACCCAAGGCAAAATGCCATTGCATGAAAAGACTTTTGTTAAGGGTCACTAATAATGAGAAAATGTTAGATTAGAGAAAAGGGGGTATTTTGAGACTTTTTGTTTGCTTAATGATCGGCTTCTTAAAGATTGATGATCCATAATACATTTCCCATAAATTAGCACCAACAATTCTACAACAACCGGTGTTTATATCATAATTCTGTTATGCATCCTTTCATTAATAAACCAAAAATAAATCTGCTACATTTACGTCGAATTCATCAATAATGAAAGCATTCCTTGTCTGCCAACTCATTCATTTATTCTTTCATTGATTCATTTCTTCTGGATTTAGATAATTGTTTCTTATTATACAAGTCAAGTAAGAGGATTTCTTAAATGCTGATACATCTGCCTCTTAGAACGTTTGTTCAAGCAATAAATTTGCAAATTTTTCCTCATATAACAAATCTTCTTAAAGTATTAGATATTATACGACTTAATCTTAATAACTATACTTGATGTTGACAAATCCTTGCGGCTAGAACATGCACCAATATTACAAAGTTTTGATTACCTAAACCATACAGTAATTGATTTCTTATAATTAGCTTAATGCTAAAACATGTCAAGTTATTTCCTTTTCTTAATTCCAAAAGATGTCAGAGTTTCCCTCTGTAGATTATACGGTAAATCGAAATAATTCTCCTTGAATACCGACAAAGATATAACAGATTAGTCGATTTTGGCTTGAAGTCTCATGCAAATTCATTAAAAATGACCGCCCACTGCAAGATTAGATTGGAAAAGACTACAATTCTTAACTCTTCTGATGATAAAAACTGATATCACAGTAAATCTTTCGTATTTTAGCAGGAAGTCAAATTTTTGTTCACGGCAACAGGAACTCTGAAAAGGATTCTGAACACAGTCACAAGCTTTATTAAAGAGATATCACAACGAAATTCGCGGAGTTTGTGTTTTTATGCATGCCAAAACCGGCTTGTCTGTGTGGAGGATGAGGTCTCTGCGAAGTTCTAGGTGTTTACAATAAATTAAAACCTTCTTATCTGTTTTGCTCAAAAATTGCTTCTTCGTTTAATTTTCTTACGATATAACTAATAAGTTTTACTATTGTTAGTTTATTGACGTGCCCAACATTCAACTTTCCTAAGGTTACTGGTTACAATTATTGGTGATAATTTTTGTTACTGGTTATCTAAAAAGATTGGCAAATTATTTTACTGTTGCAAAATTACTTATGACACGTTATAATTGTAAACTTATTGACAATAAAGCTAGTATTGCTGGGAAAATGCTCAAATAATTGTAAATCTGGTCAGTAGATTGATTATATGACTTAATCATCAGTCTATTTTGAATTAACTGATAATGTGCGCAAAGCACTGTATTACCATTAATTATGTCCAAAAATAATTGTTTCTATTGCCCATTTATCGTAAAGAAACCTAATACCTCGTTGTATATACCTTGTTATCTCTAAAGTGTAAATTTACTAATTGATAATATGATATAGATAAATTGGATAATATCAAATAGATATGAAGGGAAAATCATATAGATGATATGAAATTAATGAAATTATCTGAATAAGGTTAATACAGGGTATACTGTATAAAATTAAGCCCCTTTTTGAATTCGGATAATGAGTTATAAGTCCATGACACGAAAGAAGCTGCTCTCCACCTTATCCTTTTAAACTAACCGATAAGACTTATTTATCAGAAATTTCCTTCCCTTTGGTTTTATTTTAACACAAAGCTGCACAGTTACAAATGCTTTTATGCAATGAAATCGCAAATGCTGTTTACAACGTGATGTTATCAAAAATTGACAAAATGATCATTTAAAGGCCAATATAAAACCAGTAGAAACCTTAGATGAATAGAATAATACCCCCTTAATTAGTGATGTACTGTTTACATATTCAATTCAATCAGTACATATTCATAACATATTCTCTTAAATTATATTTTCAACTAGGTTGTTTCTCTCTTATTGTATGCAGACGAATTTTTACTGAAAGCTACAATATTTTGGCTTGTAATAATGCTTGCCGCGCAGGGCTTTCTCAACATGTTAACTAGGGGGGCAATTGTTCCTCCAGTCCAAATGGCTTTCCATTGTTTTGAAGAATTTGCAATTGTCCCCTTCTTTATATAAAAAAAGGCTATGCTGGCGCGGGCTTCTACTTCAAGAAAACGGGAAAGACAGAACTTTTCTTACAAAATACACATTCTCTACACATTGCTCTACACATTCTGCACTGTTCCCATTTCAGCTTCTGCAGGTCTTTTCTTTTTTTGTTGTTGAAATGGCTAAGTGTTTTTGCTTTCGATTCAGTCCTGTGAGTAGTCATTTCTTACTTTTAAAAACTTTGCATATCTGAGAAAATATGTTCCTCTGAAAAGCTGCATGCATTCAGTTCATTTGCACAAATCTATAATGCATCGCCCGACAGCCTCATAGCAATAGGGAAAATCTTCAGACCTTGTATTGCAACCTTATCTCATGTTTCTTTTTGGCAATTGTATCTACGGAGAAGCAAAGCAAATTATTTAGAATTTGCTTAGTTGCCGGAAGAAAATCAAGATCAGTGTACTCTGGGTGACAAAGATGGAACTAACAAGATGAAGCTGTAGAAATCTGCTTTCAAACTATCAAAATACTTTAAACGAGTCCTGAACAGCCACGATGTTCCTCGTAATATTTCTGAATTGGTACTTGGAATGAAGTCAATTACCTTTTTGAATTCGACGAAACACTCAACCGATGGCAAAAAAGCTTTTATAATCCAAATAAATTTTTGGAAACCTTACTATGCAAAAGCCGTATTTTGCTTACTAGAATGAGATACTTTTCAAACTTGTTGAATCGATCCAGGATTTGATACGACAAAAGTTTGATTTTAAATTGTTATAAAATAGACGGTGACCGGAAAATTCTGCTTAATGACAAAAGAGAGTAACCCTTGTTACTGCAACCAATACGAAAAAAGGTACCTTGCTGAGCTGCACATGGAGAAAATGAAAGCAAAAGCCTGATCTTCCTAAGAACTTGTACCTTGATGACTTTGCTGACTTTGAAAAGAACTTGATCTAGCTGGGAAATCGAACCTTGCAGACTTTGCTGACCTTGGTGACCCTACTGTCCCTGTTGACCTTGCTGACCTTGCTGACCTTACTGACCTTACTGACCTTACTGACCTTACTGACCTTACTGACCTTAATGATATTAAGAATAAAAAGAATAAAACAATATGTATACAGATAAACTTGTTCAGCAAAATAAATTTGCTGCTATCAACCAAGGAACTGTTAACCTAGTGTTCCTAAAATACATGTTTTTCAATAGTTGCAATTTATAAGCTATTTATGTCAAAAAAATAAGCAATGATAAAGTTATGATAAAAAATAACAATAATAAGAAAATTGTTAAAACTCTTGAGCTTGCGAATTAATGTTATGTGTTTCTTTGGGGTATTATTAAATGTTTTTGCACCCTGGAAGGCAAACATTTTCTGTCCTGCTACAGATTGCCCTTTTGCAAGTAATAAACTGCAATAAACTTTGATTTTGCAATTTTCAATCCATTTTATTTGATTTCAAGGTTTTTGCTCTTTTTTTGGTTTTGTCAAAAAGAACACACTCTGTTTTTGATTCATTTAGGTTTGTTATAGGTAAGTTATTTTCTTTGTACCAGCAATCAATATGTTTTATTTCATTGCTCAAGGTATTTTCAAAATCTATACTTGTCATTTCGGCATATGACAAAACTGTATCGTCAGCATATAAAATTATATCACATAATTTTTTATTTGTCTCAATTTCATTCATCAATTATATGAATATCAATGGGCCGAGGATCCTTGCTGAACCCCTCAGGATATTGGTCGCATTTTAGAGCTATGTCCATCATGTACAACAAAGTGTTTTCTGTCAAGCAAATAACTGTTATAAAAGGTAACAGCATGCTAGATGGTACATCTATTTCTAAAACCAAATTATCGTCTTGAAAGCAGTTTATCTTGATCCAAGTATTCACAAAGCTGTTGATGTACTATGGGATCAATGAATTTTGACATAACTGGAAGCACTGATATAGGACTGTAATTGTCCAATGCAGATCATTCACCAGACCTAAAGATTGGAATCACCTTGCTGACCATACTGACCTTGATGACCTTGGTGACTTTACTGACCTTTGTGAACTTACTGACCTTGGTGACCTCACTGACCTTGCTGACCTCACTGATCTTGCTGACCTCACTGACCTTGGTGACCTAACCGACCTTTGTGAAGTTACTGACCTTGGTAACCTTACTAGACTTGGTGACCTTACTGAACTTGGTGAACATACTGACCTCGCTTACCTTGCTGACTTCACTGACCTTGCTTACCTTGCTGACTTCACTGACCTTGCTTACCTTGCTGACTTCACTGACCTTGCTTACCTTGCTGACTTCACTGACCTTGCTTACCTTGCTGACTTCACTGACCTTGCTTACCTTGCTGACTTCACTGACCTTGCTTACCTTGCTGACTTCACTGACCTTGCTTACCTTGCTGACTTCACTGACCTTGCTTACCTTGCTGACTTCACTGACCTTGCTTACCTTGCTGACTTCACTGACCTTGCTTACCTTGCTGACTTCACTGACCTTGCTTACCTTGCTGACTTCACTGACCTTGCTTACCTTGCTGACTTCACTGACCTTGCTGGCCTTGCTGACCTTGCTGACCTTGCTGACCTTGCTGACCTCACTGACCTTGTTGACCTTACTGGACTTGGTGATCTCGCTTACCTTGCTGACTTCACTGACCTCGCTTACTCTGCTGACTTCACTGACCTCGCTTACCTCGCTTACCTTGCTGACCTTGCTGACCTCTGTGAACCTAAATGACCTTGGCTGACCTAAACGATCTTGCTGACCCTGCTTACCTTACTGACAACGCTGACTTTGCAGATCTTTGACTTGACTTTGTAGAACTGGACCTCGCTGAACCCTACAAGGAGAAAATGAAGTTAAGGGGGAAAATGACAGAAAGAAAATGTAAAGGATATTAAAGGACAAGTGACACACTTTTAACCCTATCTTTTCTTTTCATTAACTTGTAGATCATCATTTAAAAGTAAGTTTTTCCTGGTTTAGAACAAAAAATTCTAATCAGGGGGCGCAGGGGACGCGATTTTGCTTTTTATCACGTGACCCTATGACGTACATTGTGATAACTCGGAATTTTCTCTATCATTAATAGAGAGTTTACGAAACACGACGCGACAGGTCCAGACGAACTGAATTCGTTTAGAAGCGTGTAGTAAACGTTAATATTGCACTGTATACCAGTAGCAGCAATAACAAATTATCACAATCTACGTCACGGTGTCACGTGATTCATTTCCCGCCATAATTTGAAAAGGGTTTTTAAGTAGGAAAATGAAATCCGAATAGAAAATATTTCAACAACACTCTCATACAGCATTTTACTTTTAGTTAAAAGAAGAAAAAAATTTGGCGCCAAAAGCGTGTCACTTGTCCTTTAAAAAAGAAATGAAAGTGCCAATAATATCGGGGATTAAAAAAGCATTTAAACGGTTGGTTTGAGATACAGAGAAAAGCACTGTCATGAAATCAACACTGAAAAAGCATGAATCAATGTCACAAGGAATGAATTTGCATCAATTGTATTGAACTGCATTGGCCGAATTTGCATCAATTGCATTGAACTACTTTATATCATGAACTGCATTGGCCGATCTCCTAGGCCGTCTCTTTTCTCTGATGCATATTCGCGAAGTGAACTGGACATTTACTTTCAGAAATTTTCTTACGGTTCAACTCCTTTTTATTTACTCGTTTTTCTATAACTTTAAGGATAAACCACCTCATGTCCATCCTCAAACAGAATAAGTCGCTATTGATTCGGCCAAGGCTTCCGTGACGTCACAGCATAATATTAACTTTGTTTTAAACACGAGGCTATGACCGAGAGCTCCATCACTTTACAATCTATTTCCAACTACCAGAATATTCATTGACTCCGATTACGTCAATCATTATACCCATAGATTTTCCAATGAACCAATTAGAGACCTTGTTTTCAAAACGTGCTCATTTATTGCAAATTCCTAAGAATCTTGATCTTTCTTTGACTTCACCGCCTGGCCTTTCTATGCTATCAAGTCTGAAGCTTCTTAGAGGCAATGGCTCCAAGCATGGTTTAATGCCTGGACACGCAAACCAGTGGCACCCCCTGTGACTGATTATAGACAAAATTGAAATGGATTCAAAAGAAGAGCGACTGTAAATCATCGAATTTGTGGGCAAGAAGCAAATCCGATTGCGTGCTGAAATTTGTAAAACGATTTTGATTGAATAGGGCATGAGTTTATTTTTGATATCGATTTAATAGTAGGTCCGGAAGTCTCTTAGCCAATTAAAACGAGGTCTCATTTTTGGAAGCGCCTAGAAACTCAATAGCCCGGAGTACCTAGAGATTGGCAGATCCAAATGCATATACTTCGGTGGATATTTCGCAATGTTTTGAGCAAAAATGGTGCAACTGCTATGTTTTTGTCATATGTTGTTTTCTTAGAAATAAGATTTGCAATGCCAAGGTATTCTGATGAACCTTGTTCTTTTGATAGGCCTTTCAAGCCATACATCAAATGTTTGTTGAAATATATTTTAGAAAATTCCTTTACGCGTCAAATGGGTTCTTTGCAAATCCACGTGACAGCCATTTTCCAGCAAGTGGAGGTTTTTCTCTCTACACACTTAATCATTGATAATGGAAGTTCTTAAGACAATGATCGTAAAAGTAATCATGATTATTTAGGCTGAAAAAATGGCACAGATTATTCAGAAAAGCTTGTCAGTGAATCCAAACCACGCTTTAAAGAAGAGGTAAAGGGATACTTTAGTTACCACAAGTTGCCTAGCAATAACTTTTTAATGTGACACATTTATCGACTAGTTAACATAAGGGAACAAAATGTGATTGGTATTCCTTCAGAGATAATTCGCCAAGAAGCGCTTGTGACTTTAAAGGCACCTTTGTCAAGTGCAGAATTCACTCAGAATTTCTTGAAAAAAGCCCAGTAGCCAACCCCCCGAAAAAGCACGGTAGAAAGAAGATTGCATGCACCAAGTTAGCTATCGCGGCTTTTAACAAGCCTATAGGCATGGATTTAAGGAGAATAATCTGAGATAAAAAATAATCTTGAGGAATTGCTTTCCAATTTACCATGTTGACCTAGACTATGAATTATGGTTATTCAGTATTTTCAGTTACTCTAGCAGTCTTAAGATTTATTGGAAGAAATGTCTTAAGACATGAGACCTTATTGCATCATCACAGGAGAAATTAAGTCTAGCCAAATTTTCATAACTGATTTTATACTATGTTGCAAAAAGTTTCTAAAAAAGTGAAAATTGATGAACTATCCGGTCTATCCATTTTAAAAAAGAGTTCTTAAGGGATGACGTCACAAAAAATCTAGTTCTAGATATTTTAATTTTGATGTCACAACCTGAAAGAGGATCATGGTATACCTCTTGTGCAAAATAAGTCAAAGGTGTTACGAATTGGCAGAGATGTGGCCTCAAGTGCACTGGCCCTATCAAACCTCTATTATTTGGTCTCTGTTCATAACTTTATGATTAGGGGCAAATTAAGAGTGATTTATTAGCAAATTTCAAATCTTTTATTGACCATCCCGATTTTAGACATATTTAACGGATTTCGCATATTTTGAAGTTTTTCATGGTGTTCTTTTATGTTTTGTGGTTAAAATTCAAAAATTCTGAAAGCAGTTTTTTGTGACGTCAAACTTGAGAACTCTACAAGTCTCATTTAGAATATCAATATCACTTTCAATGATGCAAGAGTAGAGAAACATGCACTCTCTTATTAGAATCTTGTCCCCTCTTTTAGGGTTGAGAGTTTTTAGCTATGGAAGAACGCAAGGCTGATAAAATTTGGTGGTGCAAAGCTCTACCACCTCAGATAAAGTGAAAAACTAGGTTTAAAAGATGCAGTCAAATTGCCGGTCTTGAGATTAAGTGCTAGATTAGAGATGTTTTCTTGGTGTAAAGATTCAAAGATAACAGAGATAGCCATTTTAGCAATTAACACTTCAGCAAAGATAAGAATAAAAAGTTATCTTTATTGAACACAATTAAGTGTCAGGCTCCATTTTGACGGTTGAAATTTTTCATGTCTGATTCCATTTAATGTTGCTGCTAAGTTTCTTTTAACTCTTAAACTCGGCTGTCTTGCGCCTGCGTTCATAAGTGCTGCTTCGAAGGGGTATCCATCCCCACGAGGGTGGGCTAAGCTTTCTACCACTAATTGATTACATCCCATCTCAGTCTCCCTCGCCTTCCTAATAATAACCAGCCATGTTCTATTTGTGGAACATTACCAACGCATCTCTAATCAATATGAGGAAAAGAAAGAATACAATCTTGTTCCTTCTTTTGGAAAAGGACATCTATCGTGGTTTTTTGCGTTGTTGAAACAAAAAGGGACATGGAAGGAGAGATTTGTCATTTGAACCCACTATTCCAACTGTTTTAGAACATCATGGCTTGTGGTCACTAACACTAATTAATTAGGAATAATCACATTGCTGCTGCTTAAGGAAGCAACGAGAAATCCGTTGCATTGTTGATAGCCTTGACGTCATCAATTCTTCAGTCTCCTATTTTCAATGAAAGAAAATCTTCGTTCTGATCTCCTTCTTAAGGAATGGTAGGCGGGTATCAAACTCGTTTATGGATATATCATTTAAATTATTTTTTATTTTTAGTCAATCTGATTATTAATGTACCTTTTTTAAAACAGGAGACTTTAGGATAATTTAGATCAAATATGCAAAAAATATTTTTTTGGCCATGGTATACCTCTTGTGCAAAGTAAGTCAAATGTGTAACGAATTGGCAGAGATGTGGCCTCAATTGCACTGGCCCTATCAAGCCTCTGTTACTTGGTCTCTGTTCATTAATTTATGATTAGGGGCAAAATAAGAGTAATTTATTAGCAAATTTCAAATCTTTTATTGAACATCCCGATTTTAGACAAATTTAACTGATTTCGCATTTCGCATATTATAACACGCATAGTGTTCTTTTATGTTTTGTGGTTGAAACTCAAAAATTCTGAAAGCAGTTTTTTGTGACGTCAAACTTAAGAACTCTACATGTTTCTTTCTAGAATTTGGATTGAATGGTTACTTTGCCTTGATCCAAAAGCAAGTTAAACACCGAGCTTCTAGAAAAATATTTATTCCACGATATGTTTATTGCCTTGATATTTCTTTAGCTTTTTTGCATTGCCGTGAATCTGCTTATTATAATTTTTAAATTGTGTTTGCTAAATGTTTGCTGAGAAAAATTAGTTTAACGAAGACATTTGAAAGGCTTTCTACTGCTGGGATGAATAGATTTTAATGCTGTAAGGATTCGAGAGAGACGAATAAAGAGAACGACAAACGTTACTAGCATATCCACACGAGGTATATTACAACGAAGCAGCTAGACTTAACCATACTGCTACAATGGACAACAGACATGCTTATTTACTTAATAATTAGTAAGATGCTTGCAAAAAGTACATCTAGCTATAAGCCAGGATAATAAAAATATAAATTACTGAAAGTAAATTATGTACAATAAATATTTTTCAATACCCAAATAAGAAGTGCTTTAGGAGTATGTGCGTTTGACGACTGGATGCAAATCGGGAGTGGTACGCCCTAGTCAATGGCTTGTTTAATTGAATAGCTTTAAACTACTTTATATCAAAAGGTTACAATGTGATTATAAGTGGTTTGATAAGTACCATAAATGAAAAATATTAATGATGCACAGAGCAAGTAGTATTGGTAGCATAGTCGAAGAGAGTCCTTCACAATTGTATAGTAATCACTTTGATTCATTTTACAACTCTACCTTGTAACATTTTAGGTAGTTCTGGCTAGCTTGTAGTAGTTTTTGCTAGTTCTAAAGTTTTAAGTATAGATAGACCAGCAAAATAGAAAATTGTATGAATAAAAGTCTAATCGTTTCGTACCTGCATGCTATAAGCTATCTTTCTTGTCATTTTATAATGACCTCACGCCACAGCACACAATAAAGATCAGTGTAATAACACAAAATTCATTTTTTGCTTCATTGAGAATATGAAGAAGTTACAACTTCAGCTTTTTTGAAAATTTGACGTCTTGCTGTCCTTATCATGAAACAATGAACCTCATACCATCCCTTCTACAAAACCTGATTAGACTTCACTTACTTCGTTTAGAAATTGAAGTTTTCTCTCACCTTACAAGATCTATTATTCTCAATGTTCAAATCACAAGTAGAATGAGTAATTTTTCGGTGGCCTTATGAGATGTGACTGTCTTTTTATCCTGATTTTGCTGCATTCCAGCTTTCTTGTGACTTTGTTAAATTCCAGCTTAAAAATTGCCCAAATCTAATATCTTACGTAGCTCTTCCTAATTATTTTTCTTCAATTTCAGCAAGAAATCTGAAGCGAAAATTTTTCTTGCCTTTGCCTAGGTAACATCTTTTTGTTTACTTTACACCTGAGTCTTTCGACTCCTTTCCTAACGATACTTTGCCCTTCATTGGCTCGCTTCATCCCAACAACCTTATCATATTTATAATAAATTTCCTTGATTAAAATTCTCTAACAGCTCTTACGGTTGTAATTAGTTACAAATACTGATATGATTTGAGTGTTTGCACGACCGGCACTGGACATCACAACACCAGGTGAAGCGACAATCACAATTTTTCTGACGGCTAACTTTGATAACCTTCCAACCACGACTACAGCAAAGCAGATCACACCCGTCTATTCCTAATGATGCGTTGTTGCATTGTCTTCCGCGCGTTCCAAGTGAACTAGTCGACAAATCATAATGGCAAAAGTCTGGAGAGTCTTCATAATAAACGAGATCACCAGAGGTGATGTCTTTGATGAACTGCTTCACTGGTTTGATTTTGTGATCCCGAATTCTTCTTCTTGCCTTGACTTGGGCCACCTGAACCCTAGGTGCCGTGTCGTACTTCTCCTTAAGTAAAGCACCTACTTGATCAAAAGAAGATAGCTTTCTACTGCATACTTTCACTTGACATGAACCTGAAACACCATTACATCGACAAGAAACCTCAGTTAGGCTGCTCACGGCCTGTTGAGAAATCAGAATATTAAATCTTTTTAGATAAATCCGTATGAGAGAACTAATCGAATTATCAAACTATATTCAATCTCCTAAAGCTTTCTTGACAAAAAGGTTGCAAAATGGCTTATTGAGAGACTTGGATAGATTGGTTTCTGTACTAATATATCAGGGAAGGAGTTTCACAAAATTTGGTGTTTCATAAACGAGATTATTAAAGCTTTTGATGTTCCCACGGATTTTAACGATTTTCAGATATTACAAAAGTATACGAAAAGATGATGGTTTATCATCGATTTCGAGTGTTGTAATTGCTAGAAAACCAAGTTAAACTTACTGTAATCGTTCCTAAAGAACACAGCTATATTTTACTATAAATTAATTAAATATCAATCGGAGCTAAGTCATCTGCTTTAAGTCTGTTTTGGTTGGAGCTTACTGATCCTAATGTTGATTTCTCAGTACATAACGCAATCTTTCCTGAATAGCTAAAGCATTGGTTTAGTAGGAAAGAAAATCATTCGCCAGTTTTCTACATCTGCTTAGGAGAGTACAATCTTAAAACGTTTGTTCAATCATAATAAAAACCAATTTTGATCTTTAATCCTCTTTTGCATAAGCAACCTTTTAGAATTTCAACAATAATTTTGTCAATCTTGCTATTTTTTATAGTTTGCAGGCTAATTTTTCTCCAGAGAAATTGAGTACACTTGGTAGATATCTTAGATACGTGGGACATAAGACGTAGAAATAAACGAAAACAGGTGAAATAATTTGAATCCGCTACTGCGAATAAACGTTTCCTAGCTCAGGACTTTTGTCACATTTCTGATGTTTCATTCTCTGAAGAGTGTATTTTAAATCTTGAAACAGCACAAAATGGTGACTTAAATAGTAATACTTTATACCAAGTGCCCTTTTTTTTCGCACCTCATAAAACACATTTAGCTACCCTTTCGACATCAAAGATCTTTCTTTATATTAGTAATCCTTATTAACTGGGGTTCTTCTTTTGCTCTGGATACAAATTCCTTTTGAAAGTCACAATCACGTTAAATGCTTCTTTAACGAGTGAATGGTAGTCTTGGTGACAAAAAGGATAATGATTTATCTCTTAGCAAAACGAAATACTTTGACACTTACCATTCTTCCAGCCTCGTTATTGTGTAGGTTCACAGTGGCGCGGAAATCTCTGCCTCGTTCGCGACTGTCAACAAACCTCTTGCCAATTCGATATCCAAACTTGACATTGTCATGACAACCTTCATACTCCCATCCTTCACTGGTTAATTTGTGTCTGTTTGATGAAACGCATTGGCAGCCTTTCAAGGAGCCATCTGAGCAGGCACGTGTTAATGCGTAGGAGACTCCAGCTGCCGTAATTGCGTAGGCAAACGCTGTTTCTCTACATGCTGTAAACAGAGACAACAAGCTTAGGCCTGGTTCAAACGTCGCGCTTCTCATGTGCCGAACCTAACTCGAGAATTAAGTACATGAGGGGCGCGACGTCTGAATCAATTTGGTACGGCAGATTTAGTTAGGAGCGGCAGACTAGTTTGGATCGGCAGGGCTTGTCGAGCTGCACGGCTCCAGCACGGCACGGTTTCAAGCGTCGAACTTGTCATGTACCGAACTCAATGCATAATTATATTTAATTTATTTTCCTTCCCAGAATTCATTTCTTTTTTGGAGGGCGCATGCATTTCAAACAAATATTTGAGATTGCGCGCCTTAACCAAGATACTTCATGTAACAATCCTAAAGCCCATTTGGCGCGACATGATTAAGTTCGACGTTTGAAACGAGAGTCGCGCTAAACATGCTCAAGTGTCGCTCCAAACAGAGTTAGGTTCGGCACATGAGAAGTGCGACGTTTGAACCAGGCCTTAGCTTCAATCTTTTTAATCAAAATTTAATGCCTGAATTGGCAGCTTCACCTTTGCAATTAATGTGTGACGCTATGCAAATTATATAACATATATGTATGTATAATATTTTTTAACTTGTACACCTATAATCATTTTCTATAATAATACCTTAATTCATTTATGTAGAGGCTCAATATTCTTATGGACATATAATCATTCTTTAATTTTGCTTAAGAACGAAGTACAAACATTTTCTATTGTCATTCTTCAGGACAAAATCAATTTAGAAATTGAAACATTGCAAAACAATAAAATTATGATGAATTTTTCTCAAACTCTTTGCTTTAAAGTCACGCTTGTTTTTTGCTCAAAAATCGTATACATAAAAAGTCACATTTTTGATGAAATTCAAACTTGGCTTTTATTCGTAATTAATTATTAAATTTTTCCATTTTCAAGCCCTACTATTCTTTTGAAATTTTTTTTACAGCAAAATGTGTGTTTAGTTTGCTCGTAGTTTATTTTGTTGTTGTTAAATAAAATCTCGTTTGAAAGATCGAAGTCATTGTCAATAAACTCTGGCAGCAAATCAAAACTAATTGGCCATACATTATGAGGAAATCATTCAATCGAAGTGAAATGTTATCCAAGCATGAGAAATACTGGAAGTTTAGGAAAAAAGATCTTTAGTATAATGTAATTTAACATTACATCATTAATTAATGAGTAGAAGATGACGCAGTTATGAAAAAATAAAGACTGTTAAAATTAAGTTAACTTGGCTTCGAACGAAGTAAAAGTATTGTGTTTTAGATATTTTCAGATAAAACCAAAATAACCCATTGCTAGAGACATGATTTCGCAAAAAGAAATTAATGTATTAACGTTTAAATGGTTTTCAGAGATTGGGAAATCTAACAATTTTTTGTTGTGTCAATAATTGATTTATTCTTATCTATCTTATTCGAGAAACTGATTCGAGAAGAGATTGTTTTTATACATTGCATTTATACATTTACACATTGTATACATTGCAAATTTGGCTATCAAGTCTAATAAAACAGCTAATACATGCTTGTGTAACTTGTAAAAGGTTGCGTTGCTTGAAGTGGTGAAAATAACTCTTAAAAGAGCTGATATTTTTGTATATTTTCCATTTTGAAAGAAACACAAAAAATAGAGCAGATAATATAAAACTGCAAAGCTTACAGTTACGAAAGAATTAGTTGAGCTATAAATAGGTTTTTGAGAATTATATTGCTTTTAGAACAATATCTTCTACCAAAAGTATCTGTTCCGTCTTTGTGTAATTTTTCGAAAATAAACCTAGTTATAATATTGGTGAAGTGACATTTACATATGAATTCGCAAGGACGCTCTGGATTTCAGTTACAGGTGACTTCAGATGATTTTTAATTTAAATGCTTTAAACAAATTTCATGTTTATCTGACACTGCTTCTGCGCATAAAAGAATTTTGATAATGATTTATACAATATCTACGTCTGTAAAAGTTTATTATAAATTATTGTTCATTGTAAAACTAAGGTCATTTGGCTTTTAAACAGTAGGTGACGCTATCCTTAATCTCAATTAATTGTGATTATTCTTAAAACTTCCTAGCTGTCGTACCTTTTTTAATAACTTTGTTCTGTACCCATTTTGGTTAGATTGTGGACAGTTAAGTAAAATGATTTCCTAAGCAAAACTATTTTATCATAATATCATTGTCGACTTAAAAGTAGGATTTAATTGTACTATTTTATGCAAAAACTAAAGAGATGGGATACATGATCACTATTCATCATAAATTGACTGACATCAGTCTCCCAGACAAAGAATATACTGCCTAGCCACCACCCCTCCCCACCCCCCCCCCCCCCCTCCTCAAACATCAGGGCTGCTCTTAAAAGTGCAATTCATTGCTTGTTTTTTCAAACAATTTAGCTCTATACTGATTTACTCACCCATTCTAACGATTTTGCCAAAAACTGACTCCGAGTGATGGGACGAGCAGTTCCATCTCCGATTTCTAAACTGTTTCTGACACTGCATTATTGCAATTTTCGCTCCACGGGCTATTGATGGCATCAGTGAAGGGTCCCTTCTAAGAAGCCTCTGTTGACTGACTGACAAGGCTTGGATGTGATTTGCCAGCTTGATCTGGTTTATATTTACGTTGCCATACAATGTACCAAGAGTCCTGCAATTCAAAAAGCAATTTCTTAACACTTTTTTTATTTAACACATTGCAATTGTATGGATGATTAATATTTTTTACATTTTTTGGCCAATTATTAACGATGACGATCAGACCCAAAAATATGTGTAAAAAGCTGGAAGGTCAAACCTTTAAATCAAATTGGATGAATTTTTGAGGTCGGATTGCTGTTTATTTGAAACTTTATGCTTTGTTTGTGAAATCCTAAGTCATTTCAACAACTGCCCTCTAATCTCTATCTATAAAAAAACTTGATCCGTAAGCGAGACCTCAGATTGTCTTCAGCAATTGTGTGCAAATTTTGCCAATAAGGACAATGTTGCCAATTTAGCAAAAAGAAAAAGATTGATTTTGACATGCTTCAAGTGTTTAAGTATTACGACAAAACTTTGCACTAATAAAGGCCTAAGCAACTACATTTTTGACATGGGTCGTTTTATATAAACGCCTCGGTAAACAATATGCAGAAAAGTAAAGCAATGAACTATTGCCTTGCTATATCAGTCGATTACGCTCTATATTATTAATTTTTATAGAAAAAAACTAGGGCCTGAGTCGTTTAGCTGAAGGAATAGATATAAGCTTAGACAGAGTTAAGTGATTATATAATCAGACAAGTTAGGCAATAAATGCCAAATCCTTCTGCCACTAGCGTAGATAGAGGGGAGTCAGAGTGAAAAACCATTGCAAATCTAAACTGCTATTTAGTTGGAAAAATTCTGATCTTATCAGAAATATGTCATGGTTGTCTATCTAATAAAAGAGTTACATTTTTGGGAGTAAAGATTTATGTAACTACTTTTAGAGGAGAATACCAACAAATCTTCATGTAGTGTGATTAACGACACTGAGTAAATGATAAGCCTTTTTTCTGATTTATTTAGCTCTTATGTTGCTATGCTATGTTCAAATGAATGGAAAAATAAAAAAACCCTTATTAGATAATTGTCGAAAATTCTAAATTTCTCGCCTCATCTATGAATTTTCATTGCAAAGCCATTCTGCATGATTTGAGAATTGTTTTTTATAATAAGAGAGAATATTATCCTTCCATATTAACAATATTTCTAGCTATCATGGGCTGCATGCAAAATTTCATGTTATGAAATCTCCCTTTCTAGAATAAAACCACTTATTGGACTCATAATTCTAATTGTTTCTTCTAAAAACAGAAGTACGTCCCAGCCCTTAATTTTCAAAGAGGTACCGCTGACCTTACAAGAGCTGCTAGGCCTAACCAGGCTGTCTGTTCAAGGTACGAATATGTTACATGGCAAAGCAACAAGTTAGGTCATCGGTTTTACGATGAGTTTGGATCAGGTCGAGATTAGTCAATCGAAAACGCTCCCCAACGTCTTACGGTGAAATCAAAGAGACTAAGACGACTTCAAAATGGCCGACAGTTAAGCTCAAATGTTTCATGCCCTTCTCAGAACAGATTATCCTAACTGTAGTCATTGGATTCTTATTTACTTTGATTTGCTCTAATTTCGTGAGAATTGTTTCAGCTAGCGCAATCCTATTATTTTGCTATATATTTCCTTTATCCATAGTTTAGTGTACTCGAATGTCACATAGGCTAATTGAAACTTTTCGAAATGCTTTTTAAAACGAGTTTAGGCCTGCCTGTTACAATTGCCTCTGCATAAGACGTCTTATACCTGTTCAGGTTAAATTAGGCCTTCTAAGAGTTTCCCTATTATCTAAAGTTACCTTCATTAGATACATAATATGTTCTGATTTCTCATATGCCGTTGTTCAAAAGCTCAAATTATTTTTCTGAATTATACCTATTCGTCTAAAGGCCTTCAAAATGGTATTAAATGCGTCGAAAGACTCATGATGACTAGCTGATTTCTTTGAATGCGGGAACAGGTTGATGCTCATCTCAGGTGGTGATAATTGCTAATGTGTTCTGTTGTTGTTTATGAAATGTTTGTCGTTTACCTTGCCTCGTTTTGGCTTTCGTCTCGGTTTCAATGGTGATGCAGAGTCATTTGAAAAACTTTTCAATAGGACGCACTTCTGATTTCTAAAATATTAATTTCTATAACGTTATGACTTATGAAAATGCATCCATTAGATAATTCGTGAACGTGACAGTTGGAGGGAGCCATGTTTGGAATATAGGCTTTCCAGAATGCTCTGTTATGTTCTTGCGACACGTGGATTATTTTGTGTATTACCCGCGATGCAAAACATAATAATTTTTTTATACGTAAAAACTATATACGCTGTGGCCTTCTCTTTTCGCGTTACTTTCACGGAAGCAAAAACAATGACAAAAGTGTCTGGCTTTCCCAACGCACGTCTACACACAGCAGAACACATTCAAATCGTTATAGCCTTAAAAAGATGTATGCCAAACCGGATGGTAGTCTTCTATCGTATACATAAGTTTTGAAACATAAATACACACATGATTTTCCGTGATTCAGTTATGCGTTCCAGTAGTTTCCCGTATGGTAAACCAAACTAAATCAATCGCGTTGGTCTTTATTCTAGATATTGTCTAACCAATCAAATCACATATCGATGAGACTGACGCGAGAAGGCACGAACCTAAGCGTTACAATGAAAGCTAATTGGATGGTGAGGTCACATGGTTTTATGTATTGCTGCTTCTAAGGTAACGCACTGGTTCATGTTTCGACTCAGCTTATTATTCTCAACGCTTGTTTATGTTGCGTAAGTCTCAAATAAAATACGTCCTTCATACCCATCACACGACAGCTATAAAAGAAAAGCCTACTGAAATTCCCTGTCCACAACCACTCACTTGGGTCATGCTTAAAAAGTTTCTCTTATGCAGCAAATCGGATAATTCAACGGAAACAATAAACAAAAATATATTTAAAGCAAAAAATTGTTTACATCTAACTTATTACAGAGCGAGATAAGTAAAAAGAGATTTGAATTAGGCTTTATAAAATATTTTCTATGCTCCAATTAAAGAGGAATAAGAAAACACAAGATATTTAGCGTGTAGAGTTATTGGTCTTGTCTTTTTTTGATATCTAAACGGAAAGCAATTTGCGAAAATGCTGCAAAGCAGATCAAAACAGACAGTTTTCTTAATTTAAAGAAGTGCATTTTCAGGCTAGCTTTGGTGCCTAATTGACAATATGAAAGTTCTGTATTAGCATTCGGAATGGTATGAAATAGGTATGACTTCTGTTGCATAGCTAAGTACAAATATTCAAGTGACCATGAGTCGGGGCTTCTCAAATTATAAACTTGAATTTAGAGTTTGCTTATCTGCGTCCAAATTGGATGTAGCTGTAAACAGTACTTTGACTTGAGACGGAGTGCCTAAAAGGGAAGTTGCCTGTACTTTTAACAGCAACAGTTTATATATGGCAAAGTTGGTAAATCCATGTTAAAAAGTTTTGCTTTTTAATGTTATAAATGCATCTGGCTGAATACTGTGTGCATTTTAAAGTTAAAACTGAGTTACTGTTGTCCAATATATTGTGAAGGGATTGGTACACACAGGTCAATTACCGGGTTCCATGTTACTATCAAACAAAGCTAGTCACGATAATGTACTTAGATATTGGGTATGGCATGCAATTTGCTTGCTTGCTGTTTGAATTGCCACTTAAAATTTTCTACCAATGAATTACCTTGAGGAAAGATAGGAATGAAACATGCTATCAATGAAAAATTTTTGGCGGTTTTCTTTGCTGATAATTGCTACAATTGCGTTGCATGATTCGGCGTGCTTGGGTCCTGACGAAGTTCTTTCCCAGGAAAAGATCAGTGAAAGTTCATTTCTGTTCAGGGACTTGAAATTGGATTTGTTTGAATCCGGAAAGCTGTCCGTAAACAAGAATGTTGATCGCCACTATTCGCTTAAAAAATCTATCCAAACTCTGTATTTCATGTTTCACGATTATATCGTTGCAATTACAGTTTACAAACTTCATAATTTACTTACAATAAACCGAGTCACGACATTGAATTCTGAAAATTTTTCAGCAAATAAAAGAGCACGAGAATGCTTCTAAACACACCGATATAGAATGCTGTATCCCACCTATGCATTTCTCCCTTAATTTCGGGCTTTTAAAAAGATTTGGAAACTGGGGTTTTAAATTCCTAGTTGCCATTCAAGGTTTAAAAACCCTTAAATGTTGCCGACTTTGGTATAGACGACTTAGCAAAAATATTCCAAAACAAGGGCTTAGGCACTTTATTTGTTACGATATTGTTTCCAAAGAGAAGATACAGCCTTATTCTGATACTGAAAGCAAATTTTATTTTGGGACCCTTTCATGTTTCTTCGTACATTGCATGCAAGCTTATTTTTGTTCATTTTTCCTGATTTCATTTAAGTTCTTGTCAAAACAATTTGTTGTAACTTATTTTTTAAGTGGTCAAAGCTAAACTGTCTTATACAAATAAAATCGAGTAGTTTCGCGTTTGGTTATGCTAATTTTTGCTAGCAGAAGGTTGATGCCAATTTAGTTGCTGATTCTCTGATAAATTCCGAATCACTGCCGTAGTTTTTTGGTTGTGATTCCATTAATTTGCCTTCTTGTTAATTTGTCTTTTTTTCTTTCGTGACTTTCTCTAAACATTTTATGATTAAAACTCTCAATAAAATGGAAGAATGTTTCTGGCTTTTGAAATTTCGAGTTATCGAGCGTTCAATATACTGATTACGAGTCAATTACAATCAACCTATAATTTCAATTGCAATCTATACAGCTACATGGGATCTACAAATACTGGCAGTGTCCAGCCAGAGATTCTGTAATGGATCAGGGACCTTGGAAATAATCGATTTTCTGTTTAAAATAATTGTAATGCTTAGCCTATAGATAATAGTCATTTTTGCTAAGATGTTATGTATTCATGAACTGAGAAATAACGATAAAAGTTGCTGAATAACAGGTCTGTTTTTATAATCACGATGTTTCACAGTCCTGCAACCTTGAAGACCCTTTTAGAATGGGTATTGCTGCATTATAGCTTTTGCTTCCTCTTTTCATAGTATTAGAACACTGCTTGGACAAACATCACACATAGTAGGCTCTAACAGTCCCAAAGTTTTCCATTCGCAAGAAGGAATCTTCCGTGATCGTAATCTTAGTTTTAAGAAAGTTGCTCAGTTATAGCGACATGTTGGTAAACTCAAATGGTTTGTTATAAAAATGATACAATCAAAATATATAAGTTTTAAAAACTACACATTCTCTGGCAATGTAGAATCCTCAATGTGAGTAAGCAAAGTGCCTCACAAGCGTACTTGAAAATTTTACACTAATGTAACTACAAGCATGTTACCAAAACATCCAAAAGAAACTCAATTCAAAGATAATTTGTTCATAAAATTGAGGGATAATATTTCGACGTGCGCGCCGAGTATTTTCAAGCAATAGCGCTGTGTATGTTTTCAAATAAATACACCTCATCTCCTGGATTGCCCTATAAAATGCATTACAAAACAATCTATAGTATTTTGTTGATAACGTTTAGTTCCTTGTCTGTCTAGTTTCCAAACGCAATCGACAACTGTTGCTTTTTTCAAACTGTTGTGATAACTGCCAAATAATATTTGTCATTAGAAAAAATTTCAGGGGTTGTTATCTAAGAAACAATACTGCCACTGGGGTTTGCTAACCACCTAACATATTGCTGCCAAAGGTTATCTCTTTAACGCTGTATATTCCTACCAACTCCTTGATCAATCCAAAAAGTGAAAGTTTTTCAATCATATGTAATTATGACTACATTTTATAATTATATTAGCTGATATTATATGGCGTTTATTCATCTCAATACTATCGCTAGCAGCTGTTGATATACGACGTTGAGCCCTTTTCCAGTTGATATTGGGTCCAAAAGCTACTTCTTCGACAAGAAAAAATCTAATCACCAAATCACCAAAAAAATTATCATACTTAAGTCTTATATTAAAAAAGATATTTGCAATGACAAATTTTTTAATGTGACAGATTGAAAGAACACAATAGAAAACTATTTTGGCTCGCAAGTGTACCATTTTTCTCACGAACCAGTGATCCACGATTTGTAAAGATATCTTGAAGAAAAATTCAATGAAATCTATCCTGATAAGCTCAAATCCAGTTACCAGAAACAATTAACTCTTGGGTAGAGCTACGTCTTACGTCTAAAATCAACCGCAATCTGAAAGAATATTTTTTCCACTACACAATCTGCAGACATTTAATATTATATATTTATATATATGATATATTTTTAAGTCTTGTTATTGACAGTGGAGGAGGGCATTTTTCTTCAGAAATACATCGATGCATATTGGATCCGTCATATTTAGACAAACTGCATGATATAGTCTCTAGATTTTTTTACAGAACAAAAATGCTATCTTGTTATTGAAACTTGAATTTTCCAATCCGAAATAATAACTTCAAAAACAAAACTTATAATTTTTGTTAAGTAGTTTGTCAAGATAGATTATTGACGTGAGAGAAATTAAGTTAAAATTCCTGTAAAAATTAAACTAGAAATGGCCTAGATAGACAGTTTTAGACTCATTTGCTCACTCCTCCGCATAAAGGTATGATTTATCATATGTATCTCAAAGACGAGGTGTGAAGAAAATGTAAACAAAGGAACTTAGATTAGTTTTGAATGCCAACAGTCCTGTTTGTTTTGTTGTTTTGATTCATGAAAGGGAAGCAAGAGCCGAGCAGACTGATGGTGTCGTTTTGATACGCAATAAAATGAATAGTAAGTGACGTATAATCTTTAGGCAATGCCTCATTTACAAGCATAATAAAGACGACAGGCCACATTGTGGCTTTTTGAAGCTTTTGAAAAGCAGGGAACCGAGACACGCTGCTTGATGTTTGTTCTGCGAACACGCTTTGCTAGAATTTTTGGAGCCTTTTTATGTACTTGATCAGGACAATTTTGACTAGTTTTTCCCTCCAAATTGCATCTCTAGTTCATCTTACAAGATCATTACCGTTTAACGCTAGGTTCTAAAAGATATTAATAGCAAATGCTGTGACATTCATCGATTTCCTTACCTTCAGTGCTTGAAGATAGACACCAGTCGAATATATTCCTTACTCTTTATTATTTATCTAGGTTTTTCAGCACTTCTTGTTATTTATTCCATTAGGAAAGCGTAATGTTTATTTACTTGTAATATCTATGAACTAGACGAGCCAGTTGTTTTTAGCGTTATTCAGTATAGACATAGCTGTATACGCTACCCTATGTTTTCTCCCAGTCATCATATGCGAATTAGTTAATTAGTTAAATATATTTTAGATCTTTTTTACTGCTTTGTTAACCAATTAACTCCCGAGTCAGCTTTCAGGGAGGTCATAAATCTGTGATAGTATTCGATTACACAGCTAACTAAATAAAAACCAAGTTAGTTATTGCCAAATTACTTACTTACTTACTTAGTTATGAATTTTTCGCGCTATTTTCTAACTTGAGTTGTGAACAAACTGCCAAATACCTTGCTACAGAACCAACTTCTCGTTACTACTTAATTCACTAAATTTCTTCTTTCCGCAGATTTTGCAAACTAAATAGGACCAAATTGCATCTATGGAGTGGAAATAATCTCTTTAAATTGCATGGATTGTTTACACAATTCAAGATACATTGTTGCAATTGACGATACGTAATCTACCTAAAAGATTAAGCCAGTTTTTAGAGGTAGCTAATGCCACGTAACAGGAGTAAAGCCCTTACATTTGTGTCTTCAAGCTTTCTGCTTCAGCTATCATCAAGTGCCTGATGAATTCCACGAGGAAGAACTATCAAACTCAACATTTCACTTATCTGAACACATTTTCGTGAATTGCTTGTCTTCTATTGTGAGATTTCTCAGCAAAAAGAAAAATAATATTCTATGAAATGATAAATAAGGGCTACCATGAACCACTAGAAAGCAACCCATTTCATATGCTTCGCGTAAAAAATTTAAAATTCCAAGGAGACGTACTGCAACTGTTCCTTTAAGTATAGTTATTCAATGATTATATTGAAGCAAAAGTTGAAGTAGCAACTTACAGTTACCATGATATAAAACATCTGTTTCTCAAGTGATATGCTTTTGTTAAATGTCATACATAAAAGCACACCTTAACGGATTTTTAGAAAAGTATATTTGATGATCTTTCCGTTTTAATCTTCCTATTTTGCGATGGTATATAAAAAAATACGTGAACTGCTTGAAGCGTTGCAATTTTGCCATAAAAATCGAGGGACTTCATCATAAGAATGCTTGCCATAAGGCGTTGCCATTTGCTGTTATGAGGCAGTGCCATAAAGATCTAAAAGGAACCTTTATCTACTCTCTGTCTAGATATCATTGAAAAAATGCAGTTACTGTCATGCTCGATTTTTTGTAGTAGCTAATTCAAAATGAAAGATGTATTGCGGGTAACAAACTGAAATAATAGTTAAATGCTAGTTTTTGAATTTAGATCCTGGCAATCATGCTCATAGGAACCGACGTCTTTTTAGCAGAGAATGTCACTTTTAAAATATCATTACACGAAACATTCAGCAATTGAAGGCTTTTAGAATGTCTGCATGTTGAATAACTTCCATCTTCTATCTGCATCAGCTCTGCATTTTGAAGTACAGCCTATCTATCTTAACGTAACGCGCAATTTCGGATACTCAATTCTAATGATATCATTACTAAAGACGAAAATTTTGTAGCTAAAGAAATGTTAGAACAAGCATCAAATACCAAAATAAAACATTGCACAAGGTAGTGTTAGCTGTTTGATTTTTAGAATGGAAATCATATTCGGAAGTTATGTGGTACAAAGTACAAAAGACTAGCTTTGTTTACGACGATACCAGAAATGGAAACTACCATTCATTGTCAAATTTTGTGAACTATGTTAAAGCTTTTCAAATGCCATCGAAACGGTTTTCCTATCTAAGCGAGTTATATGTCAAGGAGTTGATCTGTGGAGTAAGAAACTTTGATATCTTGATAATCGAATGCATGAGGGTATTTCATTATCTAAAGAGTTTTGATAAGGATGCAAGCTAAGAAATTAAGATCGCCATACACTATCACGTAGCCTTTTTGAGTGTTCAAATCAAATGGAAGATTGGATAGAACTAATGTATCGAATGCATTGCTAGTTAATCTTTGATACTTAAAGTAAATCTATTATAAAAAACCAAGCAAACACTGGAAAGCAAACAGAGGCACCTTTGAGAAATATCGTTATTTCCCATTTTTAATGCATTCCTAAAACAATTTCCTCTACTTCCTTTAGATTTGATTATTCTGTTTTATTTATTTGATTTCATACGCTCTCATTCACCTACCATGCCATCCCCTGAGGCAAAAAATGCCTCAGCGACAACAGCGACAGGTCACAGGAGGAGCATGGCAATTCTATACTTGCAAGTATCGATGTAAGAAAAGGATTATACCTAAAGTGTATTGTACTTCAGAATGTATGTTTTCGTCAGTTTCTTCCAGGCAAACAGATCAAACATTAGAAGATGCTTAACGTCATACTCAATATCTTAAAACCTGGTACATAGCAATGGTATATGCCGAAGTTTTGATTAAATAGGTTTTTTCGTCGCAAAGTTAATTTTTTCTCGCTTAAAAGAGAGACATTGCTGAATTGACAGGCACATGCTGCTAAACGCCTTCATTATACCTATAACTCTAGAATTTACACTTGAAGCTAAATGCTAGTTCCGTCTTTTTGATAAAGAAAGAAGCAGAAAATGGGCATAGGCCTATTGAATGCAACGCTTAGGTTACAAAACCGTTTAAAACTGTGCTTATTGAAACAGATTTACTCCGCATAGTAGACTGAAACACTCAAATGTAATATATTTACAAACACAAGACAAAGCGTAGGAAATGCAATGGATATGTGCGACGTTTGCGCTTGCAATGCTAGATCAAATAATCTAGCTGTTTCTTAGAGTTGATTGCAATCTTTACTAACGATTAATTAATCACAATAAACACTGCTCTACTTAGAGAACCGTTTCGAAATATGAAATAAGCTGATACAAGCACCGAAACACATGAGCACATCTGACGGTTTTCAAACCACGATATGAGCTTATCGTTTTAAGTCTAGCCTTCTCAAAGGACGTAGTGTATTATAAATTGCCGAAAAGAATGCCCTTCGTTAGTATCTTCGTCGTCTCATAATATAGCTTTTGCTTTTGATTCCAGGCTTAAAACTAGGGTTCATACATTTAATTTTGCCAATTATATGATCATTTGGTTCTGATATCTAGAGACATTAATAGTAAACCTCTTCCAAACTGAAAATTTTGTGAAGGGAAAAGTGTATGTATGCTCCTGATATTAGCTTTTTGGTGAAAATTGTCATGCACGCAAACTTCAAGTGAATTCAGCACAGGAAAGTGACAGTGGAACAGGAGTGAACCTTAAGCTTACTTTAGCAAAGGAAAAACTGTAAAATAGTTTTTATACTAAGCTGTTTTTGTAAGGAGAGTTAGGGGCAAGTTGCTCTCTCCACTTGCTATTTCTTGAACATAGCGACAATATCTCATTTTTGGATAATCTTTAGATTTAGATGGATTATCATGGGTGAAAATGCACCTTTCACTTTTTCTAAAGACAGTAAGTTACAACTTTGTGCAAAGGACAACTCTGACTATTAGACGATGGCTATGAAAAGCCTAAAACGACATCCATATTCTGTTTCGGAGAACTCTTTACCGTTGTATATAAGAATATTTGCGGGGTAGAACTCATTGTTTGCAAGCTTCAAAAAACTTCACAAAATCTTTAATAAAACATTATTTCTTTGTGACGAAAAGATTGCTCAAGATATCTGTATAAAAAAATTCTTGAAATTACAGTATATATGACTTCACCCCGTGATCAAAGATTGTAATTACGGATGTTTACATCCATAAAAACCATAGAATCAAATCAGCGAGCCCACACTCTTTCAATTATTTTCAAATAACGAAAAGCGGTAATTCTATACGTTTTATTACACTATTTTGAATATACGTTCGTTGTTATTAAAACTCAATCGTCGATCGAAATCGGCAAAGGCGAAGAGGAGCGAATTGATCTCAAGTAGCTTTCTGATTCCTAAATGACATTAATAAAAGCCAATTAAATCTTAAAATGAGCCTACGGCCTGCAGCATGGATCTGTGACTGAGATTACTGACTGGCCCAATCTTGTTATTTTTAGGACGATACTTAAGAAGACGCAATCGGAATATAGGAAAATAAAAAAATTATATTTCATTCAAATGACTTACCACCAATATGACTGGGTGGAAGATACAAAGCTTCCAACACAGAGAAAAAGTAACCACGCTCTGATCAAATACATGTTTTCTTCTTTTTTGTTCAATGGTTATAGCGACCACATTCGCTTTACCTGTCCGCTTCTGTAGCTCTGTCCTGATATCTGTGCGCGAGACGATTAGGTCGTTGATGTTCATATGCAAGGACAATAAGATTTCTTCGAAGGATTTCAATGAATAACGACCCGAACAAGTTTGACAAAACAAGCGGCAATCTTGATTGATCGCTTCAATTGTCAAGGAGGCAACTGTTCAAGAAAAAATGTCTGGCACTAAAAATGGCGGCTATTTCACACTTATTGCTAACTCAAAGCTGAGCTGATTCCAATTATTAGTAATATCAATCTGGCTTTTGTTCCACTGTCGAGTGACACTTTTACAATCGATCATGATCCATCGATGACGGTACGGGAAAACGGATTTCGTCAAAGATACTTGTTGTAAAATGTCTTTATAATTCTATGCAACGTCTTAAGTTATTGGACCGACCGGAAACGTATTATTGATGCACTGGTCTTTTACGAATCACACACGAGGCTGGCATTGCACAGGATCGGAACCGATCATCTATTTGTAGTTGATTTAATCACGCCCAACAAATATTTGCGAGTTGGCGTGCAAAACTATTGCCCGGCTTATCTACTCAAATTGGCGATTAATGTCGGTACAGCTGCCATGTAACTGACGACTGGCGAAATGTTCCGAGATAGGACAACCATCGAGGGCTCTCTCCTCTCTCTGCTCGCACTGCTAGCAAAAGAATCCTGCTTGGATCATTAACTTCTAGAAAGATTCTCTGTCAGTGACATATTCCAAAAAACTTTCAATCGAGCAATAGTATAGAAACACTTAATAAATTATCACATAATTGCTGGAGCTTGCTGTTTGTGGATTTTTTATCAAAATTGAACAATATCTTTACAGGCCATTATCAAATCTTTTGAAAATGGTAAGCCAAATATCCAAACAGCTTTTGAGTAATCCCTCAATCTCATTTTTCATCGTTTTGCCTCGAAAAGTGTCCCACCAATCGTTTGACATTTGATGGAAACAATCGATGGTGTTTACATCCAGGCAATGCTATGAAAAGGTAACATTTATCTTTCTTCTGAAAAATTAGCATGCCAATATATCACTTTATTCGGAAAACCGACTCCGTTCTGTGCTCTTGCACTACACTGAAATTCCTGTATTACAGCTAGGAGGTGTTTTTACAGTTAAGCACCGTTTTATCCTAGTTAACACGCCTCCAAGCAGTTTCTACAATGTTTTTAGTGCAATTATGATAAATGTCACTATGCATTTATGATATCTTTGTCTCGATAGTGTTAGATAAATTGACAGTTTCATTTGCTGTTACTAACCTATTAGATACAAGAAGCAAAATGCATCAATGCCAGAAAGGGTAGACTTTCCCGTTACAAGACAGTTGCACAACGAGATAAATCAATAACGCCATGTTTTATTTTAAGACCGTCTTCTTGAAATGTTCTATTTCAATTCATCTCCAGGTATTTTCATAAAATGTAAAATTCAAATGAAGATTTAAGGAAGTTGATTAAGTTTTATTAGAGAGATGCAAGCAGTATTTCTTCATTTATATTTTGGCATCTCGGGATCCAGCACACTATCGTTATGAGATAGAAGATCAGACGTTATTAAGTAATGTGCAAGTAATTTGAATACGCTTGCGAGGAAGATTTTTCGCATGCATTTCATGTTGGAGAGAAATATAAAGCTCTACATAACGTTTTTCAAAAAGTCGAGCTGTTATCGAACTGAGATTTTCAATCGTTCAAAGATATTTATTCCAAATTTCTTTATAAATTTCCACTGAAAATTCTTCATGAACAACAAAGATTGATCCTTCGAAAATAGAAGTTCACAAACCAACAGGAAAATAAAATATAAACATGTTTCTTGCAACGTTTCTGTGGAATAACTTGCAAAATGGACCTCGTAGGCGATGTCAAATTTAGAGTTACAACGAAATGCGATTACACTGAGACCATCATAAAATTTGAATGCGATTGAGGGTTTAGAATCGTCTTACTGAATTTCTTTTTATTAGAGTAGAGTATCCACTGAATACATTTCAACCATATTTTATCGATGTATTCGCTTTAACATTCTCATGTACTTTTAAGACGGTGTGCCAACTTACGACCATAAACAGGAATGCGAAACTGTATATTCGTACTTCTATTATGCTTATTTCTATTAGGGATTTACTAAATATCAGCTATACAGCTTCCAATAACTTAAATACAAGAGACTTCCTTTGCCCGCCCAATGCCTCAGCTGATCCCTTCCCTATCACCATTGAATAGAAAGAATTCCTTGCCCTCTAATTCATCGTAATGTAACCATGTACGTACATTTTTCTTCATTTTATGACGCAGTTGATTTCTTTGATATCTAAGCAAAACCAGGTAATTGTATTTCTAAACAGAGAGCTCAACTTCTTTGTGTCTTCTTTGAATAAGCTATCCACAGGCGCCTCAAATTAGTCATCTATCCCTGGATCTTTGGTACAAAATGTTGGATCAACTCAAATTTCACTAAGACATCGCTATTTCACACTTTGCGTAAGAGAATCTCATTATTCTGCATAGAAGCGTCCTGTTCTATACACCAGTGCGTGTACTGCTCGACCTTTATGACATTGAGCAATTCATAGAAGACCGGTAAACAGAGATTTTCATCAAGCATCATAGTGTATGTTCACTTTTGCAAGGTTTTTTGAAAACGATACTTTTTCATCAACGTTACATCTTTCTTCATTAAAAACTCGCCGAGCGCTTGTCTTTTAGTACAAATCTTGGTAAAAGAATGAAAAGTTTGTAATCTAGCTCACGATTGTGTAAAAGAACAATATTTTTAGCGGGTAACGGTAATTAAAAGAGGCTCTTTGACATAAATTCTACGTAATCTCAAGCCATCGAGAAGCTCGTCGTGTTTCACAATTTTCAACTAGGTAATATATTCTGCAATCACGTAGAAATCATTATTTACTTGTGATAGTCTCTAGACTCAGCCAAGGCATTGCCGCATAAATTCAAAAGCAGCAAACCACTACTGGGCAAATGCAATTTATTAGATTTCTTATGTATCTGGTTTGCTTTTTGGCTATATATCAGGACAACAATTCGATCCCCACAAAATATTCAAAAAATGAGTGGCTGAGCTAGTCCAGGAACGAAGCTCTTTTGATGAGGGCTTCTAGAGCTTGGCACTATTTCTGAAACCAAAGATACCCGAGCCTCACAAAATTCAATAGATGTCCATGCAACGCTTGCATGATATTTCTGTTGGTTGAGACATCAGTTGCTCAAAAATCAACTATCATTATTCTGCTCCCAGTGGCTCTTTCTCTTAAAATAACTTGTTTTTATATTCACCTATAACTATAAGGATAAAAATGATGAAGAAAAAGATGCAATTTTAAACTGGTATTGAACTTGTCATTCACCTCTAATAAATATTCACTTAGGAGACCTCATGAAGCCTCCCGATTCTGAGCTTACTCACTGTGAAATAAACTTTCTAAAATTTTCTATTTACTTATTGGAAAACAAAAGCTATGTAGACTAATCAATTAACTAGGCATAGCGAAAAGCAGTTTGCTAATGAAGATGTTTTCATATGACTTCCTACAACGATTCAAAACATGCCTTGTGCACAAATTAAGCAGAGAAAGAGATCGTGACTGCAACTTATCAACGGATGACGTTTGCCATGAACTTCAAACGACTTGCTTCAAGTATCTTCCCTATCCAATAAATTCTAATATCACTAGAACTTAACGGATATTTGCAGAGACTTTAATCTTTCCTTTCGTTTTCAAGCAAGCGGTACAAAAACATATCAATTCTCTTTACATGAAGTAAAAACAGTCGAAGTAGCCATTCGACCGCTCTTTCGTAAAAGGTCGGCTTTCCAACTGCATCCCTTGCCCAAATGTACTAACAAAGCTGCTTCTAAAATGGCTTTGAAACTGGGTATATATATTTCCTAGCGTAGAGTTTTCGGTCTATGTTCTGACGTTTTAAACTCTGAAGATTGTCAGACGAGAAGCTTTAGTTTACTAAATGTTTGCTTTTTTCAAAGCCATTTTCAAGTTTTGTACCACCAAAAGCTGCTTCTACTATTGCTTCTATGAACTTTTGAAGAATAACTCTCCAAACTGCTCGTAATTTTCTTTCAAACTGAAGGTTTGTTCCTATAAATGCGCGTTGAAAAACTTTTATAAGCAGCTTGTCAAAGTTTCTGCAGCATTTTATAGATCATTCACAAGTCATAGGTTCGGAATAGAAAATAGGATTCATTGCTGCTGTTAGCAAAAATAAGCTGTTGCTGTTGGCTTTTTCTAAACTTTTACACTTCATACACTGTAATTCGCTAGCCTTTTGGAACAAAAAATAATGAATAGTAATAAATAATCATAACTAAAGGTTGCAATGGTCTTTGGTTTTCTACAAGCTTTTAACCGAGGACCACAGCTTTTAGCCAAGGACCGTAGTGAGATTCTTTTTTGGGCAAAGCGTTTGAAATTTGAAAGATTTTTGCAAAAAGGTATATATAGTAGAAAGTAAAAGTAGAAAGTAACATCTTAGTTTTGAAATGCAGTTATGTCGAGAATTTTGTACTTCATTGATAGTAAAACCACAACAATTTAATTAAAAAAGTAATAAGAAATTAAGTGCCATAACACTATATGTTAAGTGCCATAACAAATTTTGATTCTGGGATGAGCAGTGCCCTTGATCGTCGATGCTCGACGGAAGTTATCAGATGAGATACCAAAAACCATGAAACGTTAAAAGAAATGTGGCTTTGCATTCGTCAGTAAACAAAATTAGCTTAACATGCCAAAAAGACTGACTCCCTGTGACGTTGCAAACCTCAGCATATGCGTAATAGATGATCGTATTAAGAAATGTCTCTAAAAATATCCACCAATTAATAGAGGACGAAGAACAAAGGGTCTGTGGTTAATAGCAGCGCATCATACTTTGAGGTCAAGAATAAACGAGGCAATTGTTAATTTTTTCGGGATTTTACCCTTCTTATATCAAACTTCATGTTTCATCAAGAAAAAATTGTAAACTATACTCGAAATTCAAATATTCTTGCGATCACACTCAACAATAGCCATTCAATAACAAAGAACCCCCTCTTTTTTGACCTCTCCTTTTTTGTTAGTCTCTCTTGTGTGTTTTTTTACTTGTTCCCCCTCCCATTGATTTAATCCCTCCGTTTATTTCCGGCCTCAGAATAAATTAGTTTGAAAGTTAGCGCAGCTTTAAAGGACGGGTATCGCAGACTTAGAAGAAAAACTGACTATCAATAAGTAACAGGAAACAAATTATTTCCATAAAAATTCAGAATTATTATACTGCTAACATCTCGCAAAGGGCTTTTGACGAAAGTATTGATACTTGCAAGATAACTTCTCAAAGTTTTGAAGACTTGAAAATTTGAACTGCCCGAGTTTAAATGGTCAACTGTCATCCTTAATTTGCTGTATAATAAATATATTTATGTCATTTCCTTTCAAATACATATGCTAGGCGATTAAAGTTTTATTCATCTAAATTAGAGCATTTTATCTTATCATAAAAAAAAGACGCTAAGCAACAGTCTTGGAAAAATAAGCTGATACCTTATTGCGACAGATGAAAAACACTTACATTGGTTTAGTAAAAGGGGTGGATGATACCATAGGTCCCTG